AGCGCTGGCCCTCAAATACAAACAATCTGGCCCTTTGTTTTTTTTTGCCTGCGAAACAGCTTTTATACCTATGTTTGAGTCGGTGCGGTAGCTGCTGGTGGATGGCTGCTAGCAATCTACTACAGACAATCTTGAAAAAATAAAATCTACAAAATCATTTTTTTTCAAGAAGGCACGTGGCGGCAAGTGGCTACGAGTCGCTGCAGATGGCTGCAATCAGTTGCGGCCACTTGCAGCCACTTGCCCCAGCAGCCAGTGACTGCTTTTTCGAAAATCAAAATGACGCACGTTTGCCCGCTCTCTGTTTTAAAATGATTTTTAAAAAGAAAATGGATGGCGCATGATGGCGCCACAAATTGAGACAATGCGAGTGTGGCGTCGCAGATTTGTCCGCATGGAGGGCGCAGACAAAACACATATTCTTTGCCACAGCAAACACGCATCTCGTGCGAGACTTAATAACTGCAAGGTGGAGTTGTGAAAACAAAAGTTTCGTGCGAGACCACCTTCAAAAATGTCAACTTGAAGTTGCGACAAGGAAGCCTGAACCGTCAGTTCTACAGCGGGGCTGACCCGAGCATGATCCGACCATGACCGCGACCGTCCGGGACCCGTCGTGCGGCAGACCTTCCCCATCTGTCTTCCGAGGCACGTTTTGTACTGCAAAACACAGCAGTTCGCCCATCCGCTATCTCTCAAAAACGCATGTCGCGCGAATATCCTCACAAACTGAAAATCGAAGATGTGAAAGCGAAGCTTTCGTGCGAGACTACCCTCATGATCAGACAGTTCAAGATGTGAAAACGAAAGTTTCGTGCGAGAATTCCTTCAGAAACTGAAAGTTGAACCTCTTTGCTGTGAAATTGTTTTACAATGAGAGTTCTTTGCTGTGAGACTTTTTTGCTATGAGACTTCTTTGCTGCGAGGCTTCTTTGATGTGAGACGTCTTTGCTATGAGACTTCACTTCTTGGCTGTGAGGCTTCTTTGCTGTGAGACTTCTTTGCTGTGAGATTTCTTTGCTGCGAGACGTCTTTGCTGTGAGGCTTCTTTGCTGTGAGACTTCTTTGCTGTGAGACATCTTTGCTGTGAGACTTCTTTGCTGTGAGACATCTTTGCTGTGAGACTTCTTTGCTGTGAGACTTCTTTGCTGTGCTTTGCTATGAGGCTTCTTTGCTGTGAGGCTTCTTTGCTATGAGACTTCTTTGCTGTGAGGCTTCTTTGCTGCGAGATGTCTTTGCTATGAGACTTCGCTTCTTATCTGCTGTGAGGCTTCTTTGCTGTGAGGCTTCTTTGCTGTGTGACGCCTTTGCTGTGAGATTTCTTTGCTGCGAGATTTCTTTGCTGTGAGATTTCTTTGCTTTGAAACTCCTTATCGAGAAAGCCTCGAAAATAGACATAGACTTCTAAGTTTCTTTGGTAAGCCGCAGCAGTGCCGAGACTGGCATCAAATTCTTTTCCAGGGATGTTTGCGAAGATCTGGCAGAATAATGCTTGCGCAGATCTACGGAACAATTTGTTCATTTTTTTTTCAGGATGCCTAGGGGCACATACTTCATCATACACCCTGCGGGGTTTTCAAGCTCAGGTGCGCAAGTCTGAATATATAGGTTTTGTTCAGACTTGAAAGAATGTAAGGTCTCAAAGCCGTTCAAATTGAAGGCAGCGCGGACGTGATTGATGTTCATGCGATTTCATGCTCAGCTTTGCTCAAATCCAGGAGCTTGCATCGCCTGGATTGTAGGCGTGATTGCTCCTGCTTCTATTGGGGTACAGTAAGTTGAGACACGTGGTGTCCCTGTGCTGCGTATGGAGGTTTGTTTCAATGGGCACCTGCGGTTCTTTTGCCGAGGCACATGGGAAAAGTCCTTTGCAACCAACCCTTTGCTATGTACGCAATTTTCTTTGAATATTCATACGGGATCATACGGGTGTTCACCTGTCTGGAGAGATTCTTCGGAGACTTCATAGAACATGCGATGCAGCCCAGCACTTTTTTAAGGTGTACAGCAGGGCATACGCACACAGACCGGCAAACACACATGCACAGCAACGCAGAACCACACAACAGGCAAGCACAAGTTGAAATCAAGGGGTGGGGTTGTGCCATTGCAGGCAAAAGACTTTGAACAGTCAAATCTCAAGTTTGCAGGGCCGAAAGAGCCAGCACCCAGTTGCCATGCGTCAGCCCATGCGCCACCACCCAACAAGAAAGCATTCTGGTGCGGTCCAAGCAGTTTTCCTCAAAATGTTTTCGCGGAAAGGAAACACTGAAATACTTTTAAGGTCTGAGCTGCGCTATGGAGATTCTGATTTGAAGAAATTCTTGTTGTTTAGATTTTTTTAGTGGTGGATGAGGGTCTTCTTCCCCCCATGGCTGCAAAGATTGTGCGAGCTCACATATAGATGCAGTTGTAGGAACGCAAGAAGCATTCGTAGTACACGGTAGCCGCGGGACTACATGATGTTGCAATGTTGCATACACTCAGCCCCCGGGCAAAAGCCCAGGGGGTGCAGTGTAGAGTGGTATCATGTGATGGTCAACAAGATCATGGCCTGAGAAGAACAACGGCTATATCATAATACAGATGTGTTTTTCATTTTATTTGGATTTTGGGTTTCAGCGTTTTCGGAAGTTGAGTATTTTAACTCCAATGTGTGTGTGTGTGAAACATCTCAATAGATGTAAAACTTGTACCTGGATTTTTCTTAGTTGCAGGGGGCTGCAGGGAATGTCATGGTTCTGCAGCCAACGCAGACGGCTATGATATCGATCCGGGACGCTGGATCGAAGTACGCGCTTCAATTTTCATGTCAACTTTCTGTGATGGGCTGTGGCTAACCCGCCGTTTTTCAACAAACATGTCGCAGAGGTTTCAAACTTTTTCTTCATTCTTGCGCAGTTGGTGCAATCTGAGACTGCGGTAAGCTTCATGTCGAATTTATTTTCCGATGTCTGAATTCAACCTTCACTTGGGCTATGGCAACTTACACTGGCTATGGCGGTGGTAAAGGCATTTGGCACGAGCTATAGCTTTTGCCACACTGTCAGCAATGCTGTCATGAATCATTGGTACTGCATGCCCCCACATCCCTGTTGTCATTTCTCTTTCCCTCAATTTATTGAACTTTCATTTTCCACATGTTGACTGGGCTGTGCCCTATTTCTCACTTTTTGTTGCATTTGCAACTCACTGTACGTTTCACAATTTATTGAAGCAACTCCCTATTGAAGCTATGGATTTGAAGCAGCCAGAATCCCAAGATTCTCAAGAACCACCTAAATACCACGACCTACTTCGACTCCAGCATCTTCTACCACTGAGACACTTGAAGAACTTGAAATCATCAAGCAACATCGAGCTTTTACAATGAAACCCAGAATGGACCAAGGATGGGGCGAGTTCCTTTCAGCACTAGCAGCTAAGGATGTTGAGCTCTCAGATTTGGATTTTGGACTACAACAGGAACCACGAGCTTCACCTCAGGCCAGAGCAGATTTTCTTGCCTTCGATATCACCACACCAGATGCTCACCACTATGATCCAGATAAAGGAAAACTCCAGAAGATTGACTTCACAAAGAAGAGACCATTTACAGACCTTCAATCAGTAGAACTCCAACACTTGAGATTCAAGAGGCCCAAATCAAGGATGCAATGCTACAGTACCACCAAAGCAACCGCCTTGCCCAATAATCGATCCATGCTTGAAGCTAGCCAACAATTTTACTCAAACACCATCCTCGAGCAGTACTACACCCAGATTCAGATTGATACAAGAGACTACAGAATCAAGACCGTTGAGGCCAAGATGTGCAACAAAGTTCTTCTACTTCGAGGACTACCAGCCGCTGGATTCACCAAGCCAATGCTCCTGCTACCTTATCAATGAGAGACTCCGTGCTGACCACCTCTATGCATGCCAATGGTTCTCAGAGAACATCGACAAATTCATCAGGTTCAACCAGAAGACTATCCTCGACAACTGGCAGATCTCCCTCAAGGACAATTCAGATATTCATCCTGCAGGGGTGTCATGCATCCCATGGTACATCTTAGTTGCATCATCAGCCCTCATTGCCATTGACTCCATTGGTGAGCAATTCCTTCAACACCACCCCAACAGCATTGATGATGGCCTTGTTGAAGCACTACTTGCTCCCCAATGAAACCCTAAAGGAACCCTAAAGGAACCCACTTGAACGTTTGGAAATCGTGAAAAGAAATCCTGATAGGAAACCCTGGAATGAAACCCTAAAGAAATTTAGGGTTTCTTTACGGTTTCATGTAAGGTTTCATTTAGGGTTTCTTCAGATTTTCATTTAAAGTTTCTTTAGGGTTTCTTTCAGCCAGAAACCTTAAATGCAACCCTAAAAGAAACCCTAAATGAAACCCTAAATGAAACCCCAAATGAAGCCCTAACTGAAACCCTAAATGAAACCCTACATGAAACCCTAAATGAAACCTTAAATGAAAGCCTAAAGAACCTTCAAGAGACCCACATGAACGTTTGAAGCAGCAAAATGTAGCAAATACCATGCAAAATGACAGGTTCTTGTTCCAAACTGTTGCAAATACAAGGCAAACGGTACTGGGAAAGAAAGCCAAAAAAAAATCCAAAACCCGAGGCAAAAAATCCAAAAACTATTCTACATCCTATTAAAACTCTCCCATACACATATTTACTTATCAGGATCCTCTGATGATCCACATGCCGGAGTAGGATTTGCGATGCCCACAACTCTCCTTCCCATCGTCTATGATTTCCACCCTTGGAACTCTAGAATATCAGTTCTCATTCTTACTACTAGACTTCATCGTGTAGCATTATTCTCTATCTATGCCCCATCCACCATCCAGGACACACCACTGCAGACATTCACCGCCGTAAACATCAGTTCTGGAATCAGCTCAATAATATCTTTAACCACTACAAATCCGAACGCATTCCAATCCTAATGGGAGATTTTAATACAATACCTTACACCAATCAGATTGAAGGCTTCCAATGCCATATTGGACCCTCCACGGTATTTTCCATTTGGACTCTCAGTATGTCATCGATCTTCTCTCGGGAGTTTCATTGCCTTCCACTAATCTTGAATTAACTCTTCTCCTTCTCGATTACTTTCATTACCTCCAATCCAACTCCTACGTTGAACTCTGCAAAGTCAAATCTCACACAGGTATCACAGGCAACGACCGAGCAGACTCCAATGCAGCTAAAGGAGTGACCTCACGTTCGCCAATCGGCCGTTTCTCTTCGTTTCCCCCTTCGCCTCTCCCATCCCTCCCTCCACTCCACCCTCTTTACCTCCAGATGCAACAACATTCAACCTTATCCAAACTATGTCAACACATGCGGACAATTGTTTCCCGTCAAAACCACCAGATAGACAACTACAACTGCCACTACACTACAACTACAACTACAACTACATTGCGCTACACTACGCTAATTACAGTACACTACATTACAGCTGCAACTACCACGACAACTACAATGACAACTACAGCTACAACAACAACAGCAACAACAACAACAACAACTACTACTACTACTGCTACTACTTTACTGCTACTACTACTACTACTCTACTACTATACTACTACTACTACTGCTACTACTACTACTACTGCTACTGCTACTGCTACTGCTACTGCTACTGCTACTGCTACTGCTACTACTACTACTACTACGACTACTAATACCACTACCACTACTACTACTGCTACGGCTATTGCTACTGCTACTGCTACTGCTACTGCTGCTACTACTACTACTACTACCACGACGACGACGACGACGACGACTACTACTACTACTCCTACTCCTACTGCTACTGCTACTGCTACTGCTACTGCTACTGCTACTACTACTACTACTACTACTACGACTACTACGACTACGACTACGACTACGACTACGACTACGACTACGACTACAACTACAACTACAACTACACTACTGTACAACTACACTACTGTACAACTACAACTACAACTACACTACAACTACAACTCCACCACACTACAACTACACTACAACTACACTACAACTACAACTCCACCACGCTACAACTACAACTGCACTACGCCACACTACATCCAGCAGTTGTGGGTGAGGTGACCACTGCAACCATTGCGGCCATTCCAAAAAAAAACGCAACTCCAACCACCTCTCGGTCCATCAGTGGATTCGCTCTGCCATCTGTGATTCACAACAACCAACCTCTCCTATAGGTCTCCTATTTTTGAAACTTCCGCCACCACCTTGCGCGGTACTACTGGTATAACACCACCCGTTTTCTTCATCTCTGACAGCCAAATGCAGAAAATCGCGCGCAATGGACTTGTCTAACCCCAAAATTGAAATAAGCAACCAGCTTTGGGAGCGCTGCTGCGGACGTGTGGCTCAATAGGAGTTGCATATCGCTTCTGAAAAATCGGCGGTGGTATCTCCGACAACTTATTTGGCATCCGTTTGGAATTCGAAAGAGAAGGGAAGGCTTTGTTGTTATAAAAAGTTTGTGTCCATTTATAATAAGTCTGAAAAATTAATGAAATTACAGTATTTGGATGAGTGAAAATTGGAAAAAATGAAAATTACAAAACTATACAAAACTATCAGAGAAATAAAATAATGAAAAAAAACATGTTAAGGTTCATTACATGATGTTGATCACTGCTGTGAGGATGTGTAGATTTGGATAGGCACTGTGAGAGTGCTGTGAGAGCGCCTCTCTTCCAATAGATTTGGCAAATTGCGTCATCGGTTCAAGGCAAACCCATCACTGTGAGAGTGTGCGGGCTCCACTTGGCGAAATTAGCCGGATGTCTAAACAATGGTTTCAGGTTGTATCTATTGACTAAAAAATACCATCAATGGGATTCGATCTGTAGCAGATCCAGAAAACCTTGCACCCTTTTTACATTGAGTATCCCATTGGTTATAGTGAAGCGCTTGTTCCTGACCTTGGCTTGAAAATCAGATGCCTAAAAAATAAAACAGGATGTTAAAAGTGCCAAGATGATTCCATATTTATTGATATCATCATGTAGTCTCAATCTTGGCAGATCAGGTTCGCTCAGGCATGTCAGGAGCCAGTTCTACCACTTCTAGGCAGGTCAGTTTGACATTGTGAGAGTGTCAAACATTGAAAGGCAAGTGCTGTGAGAGCACCATGGCTATTGGCGCTGTGAGAGTGCTTACCTGAACCTTTGCTGGGTAACTACTACACACAGAGCCGGTTCTGGATGTGTTTCACCGGCCAGGCGACTTCAAGCCTGCTTGCAAGGTACTAACCTGAGTATGTGCATTTGCATTTTGAATTTGTGGCTTGGAAATTGCTGTGACAGCTTATTGCACTGTGAGAGTGCTAGGAATATGCTGTGACAGATTATTGCACTGTGAGAGTGCTAGGAGAGTGCTAGGAATATGCTGTGACAGATTATTGCACTGTGAGAGTGCTAGGAGATTATTGCACTGTGAGAGTGCTAGGAATATGCTGTGAAAGCCCGTTGCACTGTGAGAGTGCTAGTGATAGGGCAATGTCAGTGCCAACAGGGCTGTTTTAATTCAGAACTATACCAGATGGCATCTGTTCTTACCCACAAACAAGTTCCAGAATGAGGGGGGTTCAATTGGGACAGCCCAAGGCAAAGACATAGATTCTGCTATATTGTTGATGGGGGTGCATCCTTTTTTTCAGATCTGGGTAACCAAAACATATCAGGTTTCAGACACACCAAGCAGATCGAAATAACAAAAATCCACAAAATATTTAAACAAATTCAAAATAAAAAAGCAAAATCCCACAGATCTCACATACACAGATTGCGTACATGAGATCCGACGGATTTTTTTCTTCAGATTTTGCAGCGGGAACAATGATCCAACAGATCTTTGCCACACAATCTGCGCTATCAAGATCCGAAGTTTTTAGGTTTTCATTCCGATATCCGAAGGATTTTTTTTTTCTCCAGATCTCTCCTGCACAGTTTGTGCGCCCATGATCCGTGGGATTTCTCTTCAGATCCATTTTTTTGTTTTTTTTTCTGCTTATTTATTTCAAATGGGATCCGAAGATTTTTTTTTTCTTCAGATCTTTCGGTGTTCAGATCTGCACAACCCCGATCCGACGGTTTTTTGCCACCTCCGATCCGACGGATTTTTAGCCTTGCAGATCCGACGGTTTTTTGGCATCTCCGATCCGACGGTTTTTGGTCACACCCCAGATCCGAAAGATTTTTCACCACCCAATTCCCCATGGATTTTTGATTATCAAAATCAAGCAGGTTGCGGAACCCGGAAGATCTGAACAAAATTCAAGTAGGATGCAATGCCAAACAATGATATGATCCTTTACAGCAAAGCCACGAAGTTTCCAAATGAAATTCTATAGTTTGCTCTTCGAAAGCAATTCTCTGACATCATGGGCCAAGGTTTGGCTGGATGATGGTGCTGACAGTTTCCAGGCAGGATTCAGGGCATGGGCAGCCAGGCATGAAGGGTTGCAAAAAATAATGCGGGAGGACATTGCCCTATCACCAGCACTCTGACAGTGCAATGGGTTTTCACAGCATATTCCTAGCACTCTCACAGTGCAATAATCTGTCACAGCATATTCCTAGCACTCTCCTAGCACTCTCACAGTGCAATAATCTGTCACAGCATATTCCTAGCACTCTCACAGTGCAATAAGCTGTCACAGCAATTTCCAAGCCACAAATTCAAAATGCAAATGCACATACTGAGGTTAGTACCTTGCAAGCAGGCTTGAAGTCGCCTGGCCGGTGAAACACATCCAGAACCGGCTCTGTGTATAGTAGTTACCCAGCAAAGGTTCAGGTAAGCACTCTCACAGTGCACACTCTCACAGTGCACACTCTCACAGTGGTGGGCTTGGTTTGCATTCAATATGATATGATCCAACCTGAAATTTAGACATGGCCATATGGCATCTAATGTCGCCAGGCTCTTGAGCACACACACTCTCACAGTGATGGGTTTGCCTTGAACCGATGACGCAATTTACCAAATCTATTGGAAGAGAGGCGCTCTCACAGCACTCTCACAGTGCCTATCCAAATCTACACATCCTCACAGCAGTGATCAACATCATGTAATGAACCTTAACATGTTTTTTTTCATTATTTTATTTCTCTGATAGTTTTGTATAGTTTTGTAATTTTCATTTTTTCCAAATTTTCACTCATCCAAATACTGTAATTTCATTAATTTTTCAGACTTTTTATAAATGGACACAGACTTTTTATAACAACAAAGCCTTAGGGTCAGCTCCCAACTCCAACTTCTTCTCTGATCAGGATTTAATGGAGTGTGTTTTGCACGTTCGATGCATTCCACATCACAATTCGATATATCGGACAAGTCTGAGCAAGTGTGTGACTCATGTCGGATTCGGCAGGATGACATGAGCCCTTCGGCGAATACCTTTCTGGGTAGGAAATGGGAACCGCCGATCTGGCTCTGAATTCACAATTTTCAACCTGGTAATTCGTCTACATACGTAAAGTGGAACAGTTGGCCTTTTTTCATTTTTCACCCTGTCGTTTGTCGTTGGTTGAACAACTGGTCGCAGTACCAGGCTTCGCCTCCTTTCGCTTTTCACCCTGTCGTTTGTCGCTGGTTGAACAACTAGCCGCGGTACCGGGTTTCAATTCCTTTTGTCAGCGGTGTAAACCTCCTTCTTTTTTTTCAGCATTGCTCGAGAGACAGACCGCTGTCATGGCAACACGTTGACGATCTCAGGCAGGTACTTGCCTTCAGGTATGGTGACTTTCTTCCTCTTTCTTCTTTATGGTCGTTGGTGAGGTTCAATGGTGCACCTAATTCAGCTGGGGGTTACTGACAGCCGTCCATAGGGTTGAAATGATCACCGAGGGCCTTGAACCTTATCACAATCCTTGCGTGAGCATGTGGATGCATCATTTTCATTAACTAGTTCCCCATCGGTCCCCTATCTCACGCGTGCTCCCTCTCTAGGGCAGGTTTGGGTCCTTCGCGTGCCGAGGTTGGTTTGGCTGTCGCCTTGCAGGTTGTGTCAGGCGCTTCCGTCCGCCCCCTCCCGTGGTCGGTGTTTGGCCCATCGTCCGTCCGCTTTTTCTTTTCTCTTTCAGGGTTTGCCCGCTCTGGGCTAGGTGTGTTGGTGCTGGTGTGTTTTGCCTTCCCCGTCTCGTGTCCCGGGTAAGTGGTTTGTCATCTCATTTTCATCGTCATCTCATCTCCATTTCCCTTTATTCTGAACCTTCATCTCATGTGTCGGAGACTTAAATGCCCCGCTGCTGCGGGCGTGTGTGTGTGAAACATCTCAATAGATGTAAAACTTGCACCTTGATTCTTCTTAGTTGCAAGGGGCCGCAGGGAATGTCATAGTTCGGCAGCCAACGAAGACGGCTATGACACTCTGTGATATCGATCCGGGACGCTGGATCGAAGTACTTGCTTCAATTTTCATGCCAAATTTCTGTGATGGGCAGTGGCTAACCCACGAACCACCTCGCCGTTTTTCAACAATCATGTCGCAGAGGTTTCAAACTTTTTCTTCATTCTGGCACAGTTGGCGCAATCTGAGACTGCGGTAAACTTCATGTCCAGTTTATTTTCCGATACCTGAGTTCAAACTTCACTTGGGCCATGGGCAGCTTACACTGGCTATGATGGCGATGGTAACTCCGGCAGCTTATTTGGCATCTATTTGGAACTCGAAAGAGAAGGGTCAGCTCCCAACTCCAACTTCTTCTCTGATCAGGATTTAATGGAGTATGTTTTGCACGTTCGATGCATTCCACATCACAATTCGATAAGACAAGTCAAGTCTGAGCAAGTGTGTGTGTGTGTAGGGAACGTCTGAACAGACGTAAAACTTCGCTGACGGCTCAATTTTATATTTAAATTGTTATATTTTATTAAAGCAGGGGGTCACCGGGGTCCCCGGGGGGTCGGTGACCAACGACCCGTGAAAACGTACCTGCGGGACTTTGGTGGCGTGTGCATGTGTGTGCTACTTGCGCTGGTGCTCGTATGTTCGTGATTCTTTATTAGGGAAAAAAGCGCCCCCTGCTACAGGGCTGTTGGGCCCGGCAAGAGAATCAAAAAAAAGCGGTACACAGAGACAGTTTGCTGACATTTTCTTTTTCAGTGGCGGCACATCTTTGGAAGGCTTCGAGTTCGGACAGCTGCAACACCCCGAAGTCAGATACTAAGTTGACTTGAACAAAGGCTTGTCGATCCATGTTGTCACACAGCGATGGCACCGCTTTGAGAATGCTTCCACTGTAAGAATGGAGTGCAGTTTGCTGTGCACGCCCCATTCTCTGCCGTCCGAAAGAGAAGGTTCGCCGACGGATGGGATCAATATAGACAAGCTTGCACTGTTAGCGAAAGACTTCGATACGAGGCTGGAAATAGCTGGCACATGCCGAGAGAGGGGCTTTGTGGCAGTCCCTAAAACGTTTACATATAACCGAAGGAAGTTTAGAAGCAATATGGACAGATGGAAAAGCAGAGATGCGAACAGTCAGAGAAGAGAAGAGACGAGCAGAAGAGAAAGAGTCAGAAGAGAGAAGATGCAGGTGCGCGAAAAGGTAGCAAAATCGCGAAACATTGTGTTTTTCCAATGATATGTGGCTCCGAAGGCTCGAAAAGTAGGCTTGCTAAAGCGGCGGGTTCGGAGCCATCTGGCCAGATGAGAGATGAAAAAGTGCGCGCCGTTGTGGCGCGAAGCACATTTCCAAGTCAAAATGTACAAAGTACACCAACGTCGAACCACTTTTGGAAGTTGAGATGTCGAAAAAGCGCACGCCGCTGTGCGCGAAGCGCCTTTCCAAGTCAAAATGTACAAAGCACTCCAACGCCGGACAAATTTTGGAAGTTGAGATGTCGAAAAAGCGTGCGCCGTTGTGGCGCGAACATGCGCGAACCACATTTCCAAGTCAAAATGTATAAAGCACACCAGGTTCAGACCACTTTTGGAAGTTGACATGCCAAAAAAGTGGTCAAGTTCAAAAATTGAGGAAGAAGTAGAACCCGCGCAAGGCGGGTGGCGGAAGTTTCTTTAAGAAGTGTGACGCTATAGGATCCAAAGACAAGGTTTGCCTATATAGGAGATGCGGCGGACCCTCCGAGCTTCTCAACTCCGTTCTGTGAATTCGTCGTCATTTTTGCCTCACCCCTTTTCAATTGCAACCACCGCCCGTCAACTCTTCTCAAGCCATCTCAGCTCTTCTCAATTTTCTCAACTCTTTTCAACAGTTTTCAAAATTGTTCCATCTCCTCCACCTCAGCTCAACTCTTTTCACCTCTTCCCTGCTCTTTTCAACTTTTCTCGACGACTCTCACATCTGCCCACCTCGTCCTAACTCTTCTCAACTCGTCTCAACTCTTCTCACCTCTTTCTCAGCTCATGTTAACTCTTCTCACCTGCTCAACTCTGGCCAACTCTTCTCAACTCTTCTCACCTCCTGCCACAGAGATGCTTACACACAGAGCAAGCTGCTGTAAGCTTACACAGAACATGGTTTCAAGTGTTGTTTGAAAACACGCTGAACAACAGAAACGAAATAAGGAAAAAAGGGTGGCTCTACTCTTGCCACCCTTTTTTCCTCTTGCGGCTTGAAAGTCTAAACGAATGAGGCCACGCAAGCAGCACAGCAGTGCGCGCGACCGGCATGCATAGACGCGAGGCAAGCGCAGGCAGCACAGCCGTGCGCTTCTCTTCCCTGCAGCTGACTTTAGTTACAGTTCCAAAATGTCGCCATCGCAATCCAGCTTGCGCCGGGTTTCCAGAAACGAGAAGTCGATCGGCTGTCGGACAAACGGCTGCTTGGTGCTGAGTTCCTCGCGGCCAAAAGAGCGGATGTCGTTCCAACGGAAAGCATTCGCCAAGGGCGAGGCGCAACAATGATTGCGGCAAAGGCACGTACCGCAAATCCTGTTGAAAGAAACGCCCCAACACGAGGGTTTCGAGTTGGTAGACTCGTGGTAGCCAGAGAATGATTGAAGTCAGAACCAAACTTGATGGCCAGCAAATGCCATCCAGTACCTGATCGAAACGATTGCTGAAGTGAAGCTCGCAGAGCGTTGCCGGCAGAAGAACTTCCTGCAATGGCCTATTGAATGTCATGCCAAAGGTTCAAAGGTCAAGGTCTGCAGATGCCGCGGCCAGCGGATGTTGCAGATCGACTGACGAAACGAATATCCCATTTCCAAGTGCTGCAATTCCGCAGGCAAACCGATTTTTTGCAGGGACCAATTGCAACGATCCCCCATATGCAAGTGCGTCAGGCCGTCTGGCAAGTTAGCCGCCCCAGGAATCAGCGAGAACAAGCCGCCGGCACGCAGATGTCACAGCGCAGGCGGCGCGATCCATTCCGGCAGCGGTATATTGTAAGAAGGCCCTAGCCTCAGAATCTCTAACGGATGCGGCAAAGCGGCGCCCGAGAGGCTCTTGTTGAACCTGACCTGCAAACAAGTACCATTCGAGAAGCCTTGATAAAGCCATTCCACGGCGACCTGCACAGACTGAATTGCACAACACAATACAATTGCAGCACGCTACTGTAGAAGACAGCGCTTTGACGCACCAGTTCCAATGCACAAAGTGTCTCACACATGCAAAAATATGCAAAACACAATAGCGCAGCATCAACAAAAAATAAAGAGAAAAAGTCATCCGCAACCCTCAGTACCACTGCGCACACAAATCAAGCAAGATTCCACGGCAAAGCGGCAACGCCCGGAACCGTCGCGCACGCGAGCCAACTTTTCTTCGCAACGGAGCTTCCGTTTACCCGAAAAAACGCAATTTTTTTCGTGCAAATCCTAACATTCAAATCGCATCCATGATGTAGCAGTTCAAATGCGATCTGCCAGAATGACTTGCAAGAGGCAATCAGAATCGCAAGACAGGACTGGAGAACAAGTACCCTTCGACAAGCCTTGGCGCAGCCATTCCACCGCGATCTGCACAGACTGAATGGCACAACACAATAGAATTGCAACACTACTGTAGAACACATCGCTTTGATGCACCAGTTCCAATGCACAAAGTGTCTCACACATGCAAAAATATGCAAACACACAAAAGCACAGCATCAGCAAAGAAGAGAAAAAGTCATCCGCAACCCTCAGTACCACTGCGCGCGCGATTTCACCGCTAAGCAGCGACGCCTGGAACCGTTTCGCGCGCGAGCCAACTTTTCTCCGCCACGGAACCTCTATTTAGCTGAAAGAACACAATGTTTCGTGCAAGTCCTAGCAGTCAAATCGCATCCATGACGTTGCAATTCCCATGCGATCTGCCAAGAATGGCTTGCGAAACACAATCAGGGTCGTAACTTCTCTGCTCTACTCGTCTGTTCCTTACTCTACTTTTCTCAACTCTACTCTATTCAGCCTATACCCGACTTCTATTCTACGCCTACCTCTACCTGTACCTCTACCTGTACCTCTACCTGTACCCCTACCCCGCTTCTACTCAGCTCTACTCAGCTCTACTCAGCTTTACTCAGCTCTACTCAGCTCTACTCAGCTCTACTCAGCTCTACTCAGCTCTACTCAGCTCTACTCAGCTCTACTCAGCTCTACTCAGCTCTACTCAGCTCTACTCAGCTCTACTCAGCTCTACTCAGCTCTACTCAGCTCTACTCTATCTCCTCTCCTCTCCTCTCCTCTCCTCTCCTCTACTCTACTCTACTCACCCTCCTGCTCTACTCTCCTCTCCTCTCCTCAACCTCTCCTCTACCCTACTCTACTCTACTCTACTCTACTCTACCTCTCCTCTTCTCTACTCTGCCATCTTTTGAAATCTTATCTAGTCTGCCTCTACTCTACCTCTACGCAGGTGCTGACTGGACACAATGATTTTTTGGGCTAGTGAGAATGTGACTTCATGATCTCTTGAGGCACATGCCAACTGGACACAATGATCTCTGTGCTAATGAGAATTGACTTCATGATCTCTTAAGGCACATGCCAACTGGACACAATGATCTTTGGGCTGGTGAGAATGTGAAAGTCCGTAACTCGGAGTTTCCTCCATGAAACTTCCTTTGACAAATATACTACGCTACATTACACTACACTAATTACACTACGCTACGCTACACTACACTACACTGCACTACGCTACACTAACAACTACAAAAGCAACGGCTACCACAACTACAACTACAATTACAACTGCGCTACACTAATGTCAACCCTGGGTTAATAAACCCTTTGGCTGGTTAATTGGGGGGGTACCATTTAAGTATTGGATTATGACTATTGGAGGAGTACCCCCCTAATTAACAAACCATGGTTTATTAATCCGTGGTTGACATTACACTAATTACACTGACAACTACAACAGCAACGACTACCACAACTACAACTACAATTGCAACTACACTACACAACACTAATTACACCGCAGGGCACCACAACTACAAATACAGCGCTATAACTACAACCACACTACATTACACAACACTACACTACACTGATTACATTGCATTACGCTATATGCAGCTACAACTGCAGCTACAATTGCAAACATTCCCTACATTACACTACACTACACATTCTACACTACACATTCTACACTACACTACGCTGCACTGCACTGCACTAAACTAGTTACACTGCACGACAGTACAACTACAACTAACTACACTACCTTACACTACACTACATTAGGCTACACTACACTATACCACACTACACTACGCAACACTACACGACATTGCACTGCACTATACTACACTAATTTCACCACACCACGACTACAACCGCAACTGCACTTGCAACCATACTAATTACTAATTACACTACATTACAACTACAGCTCCGCTCCGCTACACTACAGCTACAGCTACAACTGCAACTACAACTACAACTGCGCTACACCACACTACATCCAGCAGTGGTGGTAAGGTGACCACTGCAACCATTGCAACCATTCCAAAAAACACACCTCCAACCACCTGTCGGTCCATCAGTGGATTCGCTCTGCCACTCTGCCATCCGTGATTCACAACAACCCACCTTTCCTATAGGTTTCCTATTTTTGAAACTTCCGCCACCGCCTTGTGCGGTACTACTGGTATATCGAAATCATTCCACATGCTTTCCGGTGTTGCCACAGTGCCGTAAACGATGTGTGGTGTTTCTGGTTTCTTCTCCCACGCCGCGTGACACAATGCTGTACCATGGTGCACCCCAAAAACATCAACAGACTAGGGCTTGTCACGAATATGTTGGGCCGGTTTGCGGCATCAAAGCCCCAGCAATACATATTTTGCCCCTTTCCATGCCTTTTTCTTTACACTTTACATGTCCGCTGGCCTGTCTTTCCAGCATAGGGTCATAGGGTTCGGACTCTTAATGCCCTTCGGGCAGTATGGCGCCATGGAAGTTTGAGGGGCCTGCTGTTTATTGCTTGCAGGTACGTCCAAACAGGAAGAGTGAAGGGTGGTTTACTTGCAGTTGTACATTGCGGAAAGGCATCGGTAGCATTTGCACTGCTCAATTTGTTGGCAGCACTGGCAGCTAGGTAGGTCACCCTGCGTGATTGATTATGTTTGTCAGATTGTCGGAGTTTGGGAGTTGCTTGGATGAATGCAGGCTGAATTGCTTACTGTGTCTCGTGTTTGCACAACGCCAAAAATCCGGAAGGATGTGTAGTTTCAAATCTGTGGGTGGAGAGTTGTTTTCAACGAAGACTGTCAATCCCCAACGGCTGAGGATGGGCAAGTACAGCTGCGATACAGTCTTCAAATTTTTCTCCATCTCAAAGGCTTGATGTCATCAGGGCCACCTTCAGCACAGGGCGTTTTGCAGTATGAGGGTGAAGTGAAATTCGGCGGCTCAACCGGCACAATGGGCTCAACCCTTATATACTGTTGCGGCCAGACTTCGGGGCCGCATCAAAAGGTGCCAAAAATCGAAGGAATCCAGGAGCGTTTATCTTCTCACATTTTTTCGTTCCATCCCTCTAATCTGTTTGCCTTGTCAGGTCTTCACAGCAATCGCAGGACTCCAGCTTTGCGAGGTGGGGCGTGCTGGATCGCGGATTTATACGATCGTCTATATGTATGTATATATATATATACATACATTGATATATATATATATATACACATATATATATACACATATATACATACATACATGCATGCATGCATGCATACATACATACATACATACATAATTCATCTGCGACCATCAACGCAAGTGTAAAGGTGAAAGAGCAGCCATCCCACCCAGAATGGAAGATCTACATGCGCTCCCCAGCTCCATACCGTGCTTTAACCATCCATTTTGGTCAATAATTTTCGAAAAAAAACATCGATTACACAATGTTGTTATTAGGGAAGGCTTTTCGAACTTGAGAAGTATGGTAGCCGCAGCCGGGATGGGGGCTCAACACGGGCCTGCTTGGGCCCAAGCCTACGGATGAAAGTGGGGTTGGGTTTTAAATTGAGCCGGAAACTTGTCGGTTTGTGCCCAACCTGGACCACTCGACCCAAGTTGGTTCCAACATCAAGCGACTTGAGCCCATGTGGGACCACTACTACTAGTATTCTTCCAAACCAACCCCTTTTTTGGCTATGTACTCCTACCAATACCAGTTGCCGTTGTTGCCGTTGTTGCCGTTGTTCTTGATTGTTGTGGTGGTGGTGGCGTAGGCATCAAAAAAACATTTTTAGGGATCAAAAAAAACATTAATAGGGGAAGGAAGGAAGGAAGGAAGGAAGGAAGGAAAGAAAGAAAGAAAGAAGTGTGTGCATTTGTACATCTACTATCCTCCAAGTACTTTTGATGACGCGCATACCTGTACAAATTCACGTGATAGCAATACATGTGAGAATAGCTATGTTCATGCTGCTTTGGGGGGGAGGCGCTGCGCCCTCCCCCCCCCAACCCCCCCCCGTTTTTTTTTTCTAAAGCCAAGCATGCGCATTTGTAAAATCTACTCTCCTTCATGTCTTTTTGGTCACACACACATACCTATACAAATTCAGGTGATAGCAATACATGTGAGAATAGCTATGTTCATGCTGCTTTGCCAAGCATGCCCATTTGCACATCTACTCTCCTTCATGTCTTTTTGGTCACACACGCAGACCTATACAAAGTCAGGTGATAGCAATACATGTGAGAATAGCTATGTTCATGTTGCATTGCCAAGCATGCCTATTTGCACATCTACTCTCCTTCATGTCTTTTTGGTCAAACACACATACCTATACAAAGTCAGGTGATAGCAATACATGTGAGAATAGCGATGTTCATGCTGCTTTGCCAAGCATGCCCATTTGCACATCTACTCTCCTTCATGTCTTTTTGGTCACACACGCAGACCTATACAAAGTCAGGTGATAGCAATACATGTGAGAATAGCATGCTCATGCTGTGTGATAAGGCATGCCCATTTGCAACATCTACTCTCTTCATGTCTTTTTGGTCAAAAACACATACCTATAACAAACCTCGGTCTTTTGCCTTTTCCTTCTTTGGCGTGGATGTCGCCGTATCTATAAGGGAAGATGACAAACCTCGTGTCTTTTGCTCCGTGGCTGTCGCCGTGTCTATAGGGGCAAGCTGCAAAACCTCGTGTCTTTTGCTGCGTGGATGTCGCCGTGTCTATAGGGGAAGCTGCAAAACCTCGTGTCTTTTGCTCCGTGGATGTCGCCGTGTCTATAGGGGAAGCTGCAACACCTAGTGTCTTTTGCTTCGTGGATGTCGCCGTGTCTATAGGGGAAGCTGCAAAACCTCGTGTCTTTTGCTCCGTGGATGTCACCGTGTCTATAGGGGAAGCTGCAAAACCTCGTGTCTTTTGCTGCGTGGATGTCGCCGTGTCTATAGGGGAAGCTGCAAAACCTCGTGACTTTTGCTCCGTGGATGTCACCAAGGGAAGCTGCAACACCTAGTGTCTTTTGCTCCGTGGCTGTCGCCGTGTCTATAGGGGAAGCTGCAAAACCTCGTGTCTTTTGCTGCGTGGATGTCGCCGTGTCTATAGGGGAAGCTGCAACACCTAGTGTCTTTTGCTCCGTGGATGTCGCCGTGTCTATAGGGGAAGCTGCAACACCTAGTGTCTTTTGGTCCGTGGATGTCGCCGTGTCTATAGGGGAAGCTGCAAAACCTCGTGTCTTTTGCTCCGTGGATGTCGCCGTGTCTATAGGGGAAGCTGCAAAACCTCGTGTTTTTTGCTGCGTGGATGTCGCCGTGTCTATAGGGGAAGCTGCAAAACCTCGTG